ATTGAGCCATGTATCCCCATAAATTTAAGTAGCAATGACTTCATGAACTTCTTTTATAATAAAATTATTACTATTAGAGAGAAAATTAATCACCAAATGCCCTCAACAGTTATCACTGGCTCTCCAAGTTCAGGAACTTTAGCTAATGTAAACTTAGATATATATTTAGAATGTTTTTCTACTATCGAGTTGTTTTTTTGTTCCAGAGTTATCAGGATAAATAAAAAGTACTGTAATCTATTACATTTTCACAGTGTTTTGTTTTATAGAAGACACTAAAGTCTTTGTGATATTTTATATTTCTCTTGTTTTATAGATGAACTTTACTTCTTATTGATATTTCTTGTTTTTATTTGCATATTCTGTGTTGAGGTAATCTAAAAGTAATCAAGTTACTTTAATATTGTGATGATTAGATTAGACTACATTTTTAAAAGGTAATCAGTACCTGTATCAGGTTACATTTGTAGATTACAGTTTGAGACTGTTGATTTATTGTAAGGAATTGTTTACTTTGAATTTTGATCTAATTCCTTCTTTATTAAATACTGAGTTTGATTTTAGCAGTGGGACTAAATGTTTAACAGCCCGTCCAAACATAGATCAGTAGTATTTGCACATAATAATAATAATAATAATAACACAGTGCCGTACATGGCCAGAACCAGGGTTCAAACATTTCAGGAGGCAATGATGCAAATAAAATCAATTAAAATCATAACAAAGTGACGTAGAATAAAAAGAGTAAAAGACAATTAGTGTCAAATGATTGGACAACAAGATAAAAATTAAAATATGATTATTGTTACTATAATATTATTAAATAGAAAGTACAGACCTCTGACCTGTATCTACAGCACTAACCTATATAACAATAATATAGCCTTTTAAGTGCATCGGGCCATGCCTTCTTAAATTCAGTAACTAATTACAGACAAACATTAAGTGATACACAAACATAAACCGAAATCTAAATATGAATTGTCCTGATTTTGGTGAAGATGACATAAATTAGAATATAATATATAATAATATATAATTTCCCCATTCATGGCAACTGTACAACATTATGTATTATGTTATTATTATTATTATTATGTACATTATATTAAGGATTAAAGTAATTATAAAATAAACATTTGACCAGGGGGTTTAGTACAAAAGAAAGAGTTTGAAGGTCACAAATGTTTAAATAAAATCACTAAAGGAAGTAAAAATGTTCTAAAATTATAATACTACTAGAGGATTGTGTGTCAGCTCTCCATCAGTCTGGTGGCGCCCCCTGTTGGCTGCAGGAAACACACACAGTCTGCATATCAACAGTTTTATTTATTAAACAGAAATTATTTGAGGACACTTTTCATACAAAGCAGGTCAGTTATAAGATGAACAATCTTTTATTACAAACACTAAAAAAACAATAAAAACACATTAAAGAAAAGTATTATTATTTACAGCTCAATAGAAATGATAAATATCTTGACATCTGCTCCAACAATAACTAATAACTAATTACAAAGTGATTATTTATTATTAAAGGATGCATTTAGGTCTCCAATAACAATAAATACACAATAAATGTCCTTTTGGTTTGAGGTTAAAAGTCATTTAAGAATTTATATTTTTCACTTTTTTAAAACAACATTTAAAGAAATAATTATAATAATGATAAACTTTATATACATATATAGTTGTGGGGCGTTCAAGGACAATATTATTTTATTATTTAACTGTCATAACAAACCTAACCTTTTATAGATTGAATAAATTGAAATACACTGATATAAACAAAAGGAATTATATTTATAAGTTGAAATGATCTGACACTTATTGATTAAAAGGATCAAAAAGGAAAAAATAGTAAAAATGTTAATTTAGTTCATTCTCAAACATAAACAATCTGCTGTTGATTCAAATATTCAATAATCATTTGCTTTTGATGTAAAATTATTTTTTATGAACCTCTTTATCCGAAAATATTGATCACAAATAGTTTTTGTATTTTAAGAAAGACAATTATAAAGACAGCAGGAAAAAACACACATTATTATTATTATATTATGAAAAATTAAAGCTGCAAGCAGCGTTGGGCGGGCCCTCGCACTCCATGCAACTCGGGGCGTGCTGCGGCCGCGTCACGTGTCGTCGTAACACGTGACACATAAAATTTTCACGTCACTCAACTCCAAGTGTCATCGCCAGAAGCTGAGGGAGCCACTCTACGTTGTCACCGGTTTCAGACACTGCAAAAGACTTACGCTTTCATAGAGAGACTCTTCATGCGAAAGGTGGGAAATTCAGGCCACGCCACGGACACACATTTGACGCCAGTACTTTAACTTATGCTCACCAATGTGTCTAGATTGCATGTGATCGAATATGAAGTTCACTATGATCAAATCTGTAGGAGTTAGTGTAAAATAGAAGCCCTGAAATGCAGAAATGGCCATCAGTGGCCAAATTTGACCGCACGCCACGGACACGCCCTTCAACGTACAGTCACAAATCGCACAAATATTAATCAGCACATTTTTGAAGTGTACAAGAGTAAATTCCTAGGAGAGGTTTCTCAATACAAGCCCAAAAA